CACGCACGCACGCACGCACGCACGCACGCACGCACGCACGCACACACACACACACACACACACACACACACCAAAATTAACTTTTAATTTTTGTAATTCTATTTTTAAAATTTAACTATAATAATTCTAGCGCATAATCGCATGGATCAATATTACAATTGCCTTGTGTTCTTTATTACTATAAAACAATCCTTGAAACATGAGTACGTTGAAAGTATTTAATTTGCGATAGCGCAAGAATGTAGGTCGCACGGTAATTTCACGTCATTTGCGAATTAATCACAATAATATCAGCATTGTAATTCTAATGCTGCAACGTGTTTGATTGTACTGAGTATTGATCATTAATTTATTTTCTATCTACAAATCTAAAGTCGTTTTTTAAGAATATTTTACAACGCGTGCAATGTGGATAGATAAAGCACGCAATTCGAACGAAATTATGTCGCTGGTAATTTATAAATGTCTTAGGTGTTATCAAATTTTTCTCACTTTAAATTGTGAAATAGTATGTCGAGTTGAATCAGGAAATAATTATGACAATTACCTTTTATGTTATAAATAATGTAAACATTATAATGAAGTTTTTTAGTCTCTAGCATATTTTCTCTGAATTTTTACAATTATATAATTTCTTATCATCGTGTTACTTTCTTATAAATTGATATCGCTTATCGGTGTAGCCGAAGTTGATTTAATAATAATTTTCACAGCTATACAAGCAAAGCCTGATATCACCAGGTAATCATAGCATATCATGCGAGTGTCGAAATGTTTACAATAAATTTGTGTCATACATAGCAGAGTATAATTTACTTATAATAGGAGTTGAATTACACACATAACAATGGCCATGGAAAATAAATGGCAAAATAGAAACACGCACAGCTACGGTTGTGAAAACACTTATAAGAAAAACCTGATAATGAGACAGATTACGCAAATGCACATGTTCATATTCGATTGACGTTTAAAGCCAACACTTATATCGAATTTACTAGCGTTGAATCTAATAAAACGGAAGAAAATGCCGCGATAACGATACTACGTCTCGTATTTCTGCAATGTGTATTCGTGGTTACATTGCTCCGCGATATGGCGAATATAACATCTTACATCTAAGGAATACAATAAAAGAAAAAGCAGCTGTTATAATTAATTTATTCATAAAAATTTATATAATTTATAATTTATTTTATATTTCTTAAACTTTGAAAATTATTTATTTTTGTAAAAGATCAAAAATTAAATTATTAAAAAACCAAGAATATATAGATACGTAAGTATTTGAAATAAAAATAGATTTAAATAAACAAAAAGATAGTAAAAGATAGTAAAATAAAAAATTAGAAACATAGAAAATAGAATTAATAATTATTTTACAAACTTATCACTTACAAAGAATGTTTTCTTTTCATAAAAATAAGTGATAAAATCTAATGTAGCAAATACATAATAAAATATTCTAATGTTGCTACTCCTCTTTAATCAAATATAATATATATTATTAACATTTTTGAGAATGTTTTGGTAAATTTTGTATAATTATAGTGTTTGTGACGATTTATACATCTGGCTTTGGTATTACGGCTGGCGTTCACAGATTATGGTCGCATAAGGCATACAAAGCTAAATGGCCCTTACGTCTATTTCTAGTCTTCCTCTTCACGATAACAGGACAGGTGTGTTAAATCCTTACGTAATAATAATATATAATCTTTGTACAATAAGAATGTTCTTTTACTAATATTGTAATTGCGCTGTCACGCAAAACATATTATTTGTATTAAAGATTATATTTATATATACATAGAGTGGAGCAATAACTATTACTCATAAAATTTCTTTGAATCCAGAGGAAAATGTGTGTAATCAATATTGCACGATAATACGAAGGGGATACTATCACGATAAGAATTTTTGTTCAAGTTAGTAGAGATGCTTCGGAGATAAAATTATCATTTCTTAAAATTATCATTTCTTAAAATGGGTTTGTATAAATATCTTTTTTTTTTATAATATTGAGATAGAGGAACTCAAAACAAATTTAGAACTCATGACGCAAGATTATTGAGCAAAATTAAAAATTAATAAATATTAAAAAATACGTTTATATTAAATAAATTTTATTTTGTTTTATGTGACATTTTATTTTTTTATTTTAATTTTGTTCAATAATCCTGAGTCATGAGTTCTGAACTAGTTTTGATTTCCTTTATATTATAAACAAAATATATCAAACTTATTAATAAAATTGACCGACTTCGTATCTCCAAAGCGTCTTCACCTCAACAAAAATTATTATCGTGATAGTCTCCTTCGTACCATGCAATTTTGATTACAAAATTTTTCTTTAGATTTCTTTCAGAACACTTCCTTCAAAAGTGATAACCTTACAGATTCACTAATATTTAAAGTGATAAAATTATTGCCACATTCTATGTGTATATATATGTTTCTAAATAATTACAAAATATACATTGGGTTGGAACAAAAGTTTATAGCGCTGCAAACTTTAAAATACAAGCAGTTGTAACTTCGTTAAAAATAAACAAAATTTAAATTTAAAAAAATTTTCAAAGTTTAATATCTGTAATTTTGAAAGATTGCTATGTATTTTCAATTTCTATTTTCAGTAAATTTGGCAATTTTTTACATATAGAAAACTACAAGCTGGACAAAATGAAAATTTTCTTTTTATTTTGTGGATTTGCCTAAAAAAAAAAAGCTTACGAAAATTTTCGACTTTCTAACGTAAAAATTTAAAGTTTTTTCTACAAAATTTTGAAAATGTTTCTAAAATTTTGTATTCCTAAATTACTGCGGATTAAATAAAAGAAGCATTTTGATTTTGATTGTTCATAACTCTGTTAAAAATCATCCATAATTTAAAAAAACAGATTCTTAAAGTTGAAATCTTGCTCTATCGAATGATATAATTGTTAGTTTTTTTTTAACACATGTAGATACATGAATAGTGCTACGAAATTTTATTCTAATAAAAACAATATGTATGTATAATATACATATAAAACATTCATAGAGAATATTTTGAAATTCGCGAATTAAAATACTACAATAAGAAAGTCCTGAAAAAAATAAGTTATAAAAATAGTTGCTATTTGTCATTCCGGGCAGTATAGTTTTTTTCGAGACATAAGAGTCAAAAGCTGACCAATTATAAATTATGGTTAAACTACCATCTATTTGTGAGTCAGTATAAATATAATTAAAATTTTTAATTTTATCTTAGGTTTACCCTATTTTCAGTAATTTCTAGAAAACCTCCCGAAATGTTATCATTAAATGATTCAGATAGCTTTAATAATGAATTTTTAATTGCAACAAAGTTTCTGCAGTACGTATTGTATAATATAACAAAATGCGTGAAAAATAGCCCTCTTTATAATTGCAAATTCCTGAAAAGTAATTTGGAAAACGGATTCGTATATTTAGTATCCAAAAAACTGTAAAACATATGACTAGTCTTGTTTTAGAATTAAAAAAAATTTTTTGTTGAATAGTATAATCTATAATTGACGTATTTTTAACATTTATCTTAAAAACTATTACTTTGAACGACAAGTGGCAAATACTTGTATAACTTATTTTTTCGAAAACTTTGTTGTAAAAGAGACAAAAATTTTTTAAGATATTTTCTATGAAATACATTTTCTATGCATATCGAAATTAATAATGCTAAAATCTTGTCAGACAACAAAATAGATGATAAAAAAATTTACTCATCAACTTCATTTTCTTATAAAAGTCGTTTTAAACAATATATATTGTTCAATCTATAGTGTCAAATTTAACTTAATGTATCGCCATTGCTCCTATTAAATACAATATATCGTTATTTTTTACTAAAACGCTAATTAAATTTGACACTATAGTGTCAATTTGACTATATATAATGTCAAATTAACACTATATAGTATCAAATAACCATCATTTTAGTATAAAATAACGATACAATTAAGTAGAAGCAATGGTGACTCATATTAAGTTAAATTTAACACTATAGATTTAACAATATATACAATACTTTTGATATAACCATTTTACACAACAAATTAATATTATATTAGCAATTTATAGTAAAAAAAGAGACTTTTCTGCCACATTTAAGTTATAAGCTTTTTGACAATCAATCCTGAACGGCACCGGTCTTCTCAATAGTATTTTAATTCGCGCGCGCGCGTACTTAAAAATAAATTAATGAATTCTCAAGGTTTTAACAATATTCTTTTTGTGCAGAAAGATGTGTACACATGGGCGTTGGATCATAGAGTACATCATAAATATAGTGAAACCAATGCAGATCCGCATGATGCGAGAAGAGGTTTCTTTTTCGCTCATGTAGGGTGGCTTTTTACGACACCCCATCCAGACGTCGTCGCCAAACGCAAAGCGGCTGATGTGAGCGATCTAGAAGCGGATCCTATAGTTATGTGGCAAAAAAGGCAAAAGACTTATAGTATTCGTCATTCGTTTTTTTCTTGCAAGACATATTATCCAATATGTATGTACACGTCGATTTTAATGAGATTTTTATTACTGAAAATACTTGCAAAATAATGAGCCATGATATCCATTTCATCGACAATCATCAATATTTAAGGAAAAATTGAAATATTTAAAAAAAACTGAAAATTATAAAAAAATATGAAAAAAATACATTATCAAATACCACTTTACATGTGCGGATAGTTTCTGATATATTTTTGCCTATCGAATCTGTTATCCAAATTTAGTTATCATGTTACGGTTTTGGAAAAAAAATGGTATTGAAGAAGAGAAGAGAGAGAGAGAGAGAAAAACTCAAAGATTTTGGAGATTTTTTTAGACATTGTAGCACCAGCAATATAAATTTTCTTAATTAAAGTATTAATTTTTAGCATTAAAATGCGTCTTATTTTATATCGATATATTCTTCGTTTTTGAGATATAGCCATTTAAAAATAATTCTTTTTTAAATCGTATTAAATAAAGAAATAATAAAATTGGCAAGATACAATATGGCAGGAAGATTATAATCTTAAAATAAAAAAGATTATTATCTTCTTGCCATATTATATTTTAAAATGCATTTTAAAGCTAAAACTTTGGCAAGGAATTAATAAAATTTAGAACAAAAATTTGCTGTTAATGCTACAACATAAAACCTTCTAAATCGTTTTTTTTCCATTTTGGCACCTTTTTTTTGAGAATTGCAATGTGCCAAATTTGAACAGTAAATTCGTATTTAGCAGGCAAAAATAAATTGAAAATAATTATTCAAAAAGTTTCAAAAATAATGTTGGAGTATACTTTTTCCATATTTTTTCAATTTTTAGTTCTCTGTGAAAATTTTAATTTTTTATATTAAATATTGACGATTAAAATGTATATCTTTATTTATTATTTTGTTTTTAGTAATGAAAATTTTATCAAAATTGGCATGTGCATACTGAGAATGTTTTCTGTTAGCATTACAAAAAGAAGATATAAGTAAAACAGAATATATATCGAAGACATCTTTATTGTTATTTTATATATTCAGAAATTTATATGTCATTTTTTTGTGACATAATTATTTTTATATCAACTTATCCATATAGGTTATATATACCTCTATTTGCACTTCTAACCATCGCACTACCAGTGGGAATTCCTTGCTACTTCTGGTCGGAATCGCTATGGATATCGTTTTGGGTGAACTTCAATTTTCGCTTCAGCATCAATTTAAACATAGCCTTCTCTGTTAATAGCGTGGCACACATGTGGGGGCAGAAACCTTACGATAAGTACGTATTAAATCACAAATGTATCAAAGATTGTCGCTGATGGGACAATCGAAGAAAAGCAACTATTTAAATCGATGAATTTTTTACATGACATTTTATCTAGTCTAAATATCAGTCTTTGAAATAGAATATGATTATTTGCTCATAGAAACATTTCTCCAGTGGAGAACATTGCGGTATCAATCGCGGCGCTTGGTGAGGGATATCACAATTATCATCATGTGTTCCCATGGGACTATAAGACCGGTGAGCTAGGCGACTACCCGTTCAATCTTACTACCGCCTTCATTGATGCATTTGCACGGATCGGATGGGCCTACGATCGGAAGTATGTCTCACCAAGTATGATCCATCGTAGAGCACACAGATGTGGCGATGGAAGTCACGTTTGGGGTTATGGTGATGTCGACATTTCGAAAGAAGATCTAGAGGAATTAGATGTCATGGACAATCACGAGCTGTGAGACTGAAAAAATATTTTGAGGAGAAGTTGAAAAAATATTTTGACATATTTCCTATATATAATATGTCATACGTGGACCATATGTAAAGTTTCTTTCACAAAGATTTGAGCTAAAATAATATAGGGATTTGAGATTCTGTATAATTTCAGATTGCCGTATACAGTATACATTGGAAAATATTTAATGTAATAATTATTGGATTAAAGAGATATTTTAATTGCGAGATAGTCGATAAAATACAGTTGGCGATTATAGTCAACAATAAATAAACTATTTTATTTATGACATGAATTCGTCATAAAATTTATTATAGAATTAATATATATACATTGGTTGTTTATTTATTTTTATATTTATAGGCTTTGTCAGTATCCCAGATAGCATATGACATTAATAGAACGACATATATGAACATTCTAAGAATATATTGTACAATCTTAAAATGTTCTAATGTCAACGTGTAAATGTTTTTAGAAATTTGGTACTGTATGGGATTGTTTGTTACAGTAAGATAATAGTAAATATTTACCGTCACAGTGTAAAATGGCAAAGAAACGATAATACAATATGATCGAAAATCCATTGTTTGGTAACTGAAGGAAATCACTAAACAAGGGAAATAAGGAAAGTCACTATTTAATACGTACTATAATTTGTATGTAATCGTTATTTATAATATATAGTCATATAGGTATTATAATATATAGTCATTTAACTCATAAAACTTTCTACTTTATTTAACGTAAATGACGTACAGTACAATAATCTAAATGAAAAATTTATTAAATTAATATGTTCTATGAAAATTATGTATATTCTACAAATATATCTCTTTAAACTTTTTACTAGAAAACTGTATTTAAAATTTATTGTTTTTGATAATTTATGCGATTAAAGGAATCAAAGATAAAAATACCACATATTATTAAGGTAATTTTATCAACAAATCTTTTTTGTATTTTGTAAGTTTCATGCAGAAACAAAAATTTCAGTTAATATTTCATGAAACACATATCAGGGCACAGTAATGTTGATATTCATTTATATAATTTATATAATTAATACTATTTATTTTTA